TGGTGAAAGAATAAGTTAAGGACTATTTAGAAAAGCTGGACATGCACAAGTCCATGGGGCCGGATCTAATGCACCCCAGAGTGCTGATGGAGTTGGCTGATGTGATTGCGGAGCCATTGGCCATTATCTTTGAACACTGGTGGCGATTGGGGGAGGCCTCGGAAGATTGGAAAAAGGCACTCCGCTTGATACCGGATATGATGAGATAACTGGCTCTGTGGATATGGGGAAAGTGGTGGATGTGATATATCTTGACTTTAGCAAATCTTTTGATACAGTTTCCCACAACATTTTTGCCACCAAGTTAAAAAAGTATGAATTGGATTAATGGACTATAAGTTGAATAGAAAGCTAGCTAGATCGTTGGGCTCAACGGGTAGTGATCAATGGCTTGATGTCTAGTTGGCAGCCAGTATCAAGTAGAGTGCCCCAGGGGTCAGTCCCGGGGCTGGTTTTGTTCAATATCTTCATTACTTATCTGGATGATGGGATGGATTGCACCCTCAGCAATTTAATGGATAACATTAAGCTGTGGGGAGAAGTAGATATGCTGGAGAAGAGGGATAGGGTCTAGAGTGACCTAGACAAATTGGAGGATTGGGCCAAAATAAGTGCAGAGTCCTGCGCTTAGGAAGGAAGAATCCAATGCACCTCTACAGGCTGTGGACAGACTGGCTAAGCAGCAGTTCTGCAGAAAAGGACCTGGGAATTACAGTGGATGAGAAGCTGGATATGAGTCAGCAGTGTGCTCTTGTTGCCAAGAAGGCCAACGGCATATTGGGCTGTATTTGTAGAAGCATTGCCAGCAGATTAAGGGAAATGATTATTCCCCTCTATTCAGCCCTGGTGAGGCCACACCTGGAATATTGTGTCCAGTTTTGGTCCCCCCACTACAATTGTGGACAAATTGGAAGGAGTCTAGCGGAGGGCAATAGAAATGATTAGGGGGCTGGGGCACATGACTTATGAGGAGAGGCTGAGGCAACTGGGCTTATTTAGAGAAGACTGAGTGGGCATTGGATAGCAGCCTTCAACTCCCTGAAGGGGGGTTCCAAAGAGGATGGAGCTCGGCTGTTCTTAGTGTTGGCAGATGACAGAACAAGGAGCAATGGTCTCAAGTTGCAGTGGAGGAGGTTTAGGTTGGATATTAGGAAAACTTTTTTCACTAGGAGGGTGGTGAAGCACTGGAACGGGTTGCCTCAGGAGGTAGTGGAATCTCCATTCTTAGAGATTTTTAAGGCCCGGCTAACAAAGCTCTGGCTGGGATGATTTAATTGGTGTTGGTCCTGCTTTGAGCATGGGGTTGGACTAGATGACCTCCGGAGATCTCTTCCAACCTTAATCTTCTCTGATTCTTCTATGAGTCTATGATTCTATTGAGGGGGAGGTGCTTAAAAGTCTAAGCTTAGCACAAGAAGGTGAACAGGAAGAAGGTTGCTCTGCCCAGGGACTACTGGCAGCACAGGGAGTCCAGCCAAGGAGGAGACAGCTACAAGACACACTGCCCCAAAGCCACCCTGAACGAGGTCAAAACAATACACCCCAGGAAGAGGGGTGGAAAGTAAACCCCATAAAAGGGCAACAGTCTTAGTGAGACTGAGCCCTTAGAGATGATCCTCTAGGGGCTGCCTGACAGACTGGTCCTTGTTCCAGCCAAATCTTCCTTCCCCCCTTGCAAAGGGGAGGGGGAAAAAGGGATCAAACCCTGGCCTGCGAGCTGTAGCTGGCCAACAGATTCCCCTGAAGATTGTTGACAGGGGGAGAAGAAGGGGTAAAGGAAGGACATTGGACCCTGGAGCCAAGGAAGGCCCCTCCCCCACGTCCCTTTACTCTTTGTTGGCCCCACATGGTTAGTGTGATACAGCAGGGCCAGGGAGCAGTGAGAGAGTGGTCAATGGAGATATATAAGTCCTAGGATAATTAAGGCATGGTTCCCTGTAGACTAGGGAGGGTTGCTACAGGTTAATTGGGGCACCTGTAGTCAGTTAAGACCCTGCCAGGAATCTAATAAAACACCCTGCTTCAGGCAGACAGGGTGGTGTGAGGGAGGAGAGAGGACTGGAATTTGGAGGTGTGTTCCTGATAATTGAAATACCAGAGAACAGGAGGAAGGGAGACCCTGCCCCAGCAGGGCAGGGAGACTCCCTTTCCCACCATCTAAGGACTGAGGTTAACCCTACCCAAGGTGGAAGAGGGTAAGAAACCCGCAGGGTTGCGAGGGGCTGGTGCTCAAAGTGAGGCACAAACCCAGACCCCTTCCCCACTTCCCTCCTTTACCACCTTCCCGGGCCACTAGCGGGGTCCTTGATGCCCCAAGAGCAGGGGCAAGGGGTGGCATCCTAGCCCCCCACCAAGAAAAGTGCAGGACCCACTATACCAACATCAGCCATTTTGCCACATTATATACTGCATTACCTTAGAGTGAAGAGAGAGAGAGCCATTCCACTCACCTGTCACATCCAGTTCAACCACCACCTCATCATACCAGGTCCCCAAAGAGACACTGCAGGTGTATTTCCCTTTGTCAGAAACAATGACATTCTTCAGGTTTAGAGACACGTTTCCTGCTTGAAATTCAGTTGGGAAGAACAGTGTTCTGTCCCGGTATCTCTCATCCTGTCTCTCCTCGTTATTTGGTCCATCATAGGTGCTCACATCTATTTTTTCTGAGGGTCTAGAAAGTATCCACTGGACAGTAATTGTCTCAGGGTTAATCTGAGTTGTCAGATTGCAAGGCAGGACAACCACTTCTCCAATGATAGCAATGACAGGATTCTGAGGAGGGATGATTTTAAACTGACCTGTGGGTAGACAGAAACAGAGGTTGTATCCATTGTCAATGCTCTCGTTTGTTGATTCTATAGGAAACTATTGGCAAATAGTTTTAGGTCAACTGAAACAGCAATTTTCATTGAATAAACTATTTGGCTGAAATATTTCACCCTGCTCTAGTTGCACTTTTACACAGGAAAAAATGGAACTGGTAATGCATAGCCAAAGCACCAAAAACTCCTACAAGGGAAGAACCACCAGCTGGGATGGTAGTTGCACAACCATGCATGGGCACACTTATGCACATACACAGGTCCATAGATTCCAAGGCCATAAAGGACCATTGTGATCATTCAGCCTAACCTGTATCACACAGGACAAAGAAGTTCCCTAAAATAATTCCTAGAGCAGATCTTTTAGAAAAAACCTCCAATCTTAATTTAGAAGATATCAGTGATACAGAATTCACCACGACCCTTGGAAAATTGGTCAGTTACTCTCACCATTAAACATTTATATCTGAACAGTCTGAAATACTATCACACATTTGGTATTTTAGTCACAGATTCTTTCTCACAATGACTAACCCTGTGACTTGTAGCACTGACTTCAAGTGGGGCTATCACTGGAAATAGGTACTACCTAACATCAGTAAGTGTCTCACTTTGCATATTGAAAGGTGTGCCCACTGGATTTTGTCCTAATATGTTTTGCATGGCTCTTCCATAATGGAGGCTTCAATGATGTGGGTCCATATGATCTGTTATGGGACATTCAGATTTTGATAGTGAATTTTAGTGATCATGTAAGGAACCTGAAGAATAGCCCTGGAAATTGATATGAGAACCTGCCTAGTAAATTATCATAAGCCAATGAACAAAATAAGTCCCACATTAACTCTATGGTGAGGGACTGAGTATCACTTAAGTGGTGCAGAGAAGTAAATTGCTCTCCCAAAGGGAATACATTTGTCTGTATGGATAAGCTGTATTAGAATAGTACGTAATGTGATTGTTTGGCTTGCATTTGAGTCAGGTCATATGAGGTTGAACAGGACAGAGGGGACTGGTTATATGGAAATGTACCTGGAAAATAAAAATTTTAGACAGTTTTTTTTAATGAAACCTTATACCTCGCAAAGTAAAGGATGACATATGAATACATCATTTTTGTAATCTATGGTTTTCCATTGGCCCTGGTAATGATTAGTTGTTTCATTTTCATATGTTTAACACAGAACCCGATTTACCTGTAATCAAATGTGGCATCTGTAGAAAAGTCAGTATGTGAACAGCTGTCACCCAGTGAAATACGGACCCCATCGCTGTGTGGGCTTTCAAGACATCAATAGGACAGTGATGAAACATCCAAGGGAAATCATTAGTCTTCCAGTCTCTTCAAATGCAGAGCAAAAAACGACAGCAGTGAGGGTAGAAATAGCTCAACACAGTAAGAAAAATAAAAAAAACCCTTATAGACAAAGGACCTGATCCTGCTATTAATTGGAGCAGGATTGGAACCAATGTTCCTATGTACACTGAGCTGTGTTGAAGAAATATACCCGTTACAGACCCTACTCTGTCTTCCAAAGGTGTGCAGAATTTTTATTATCTTTACTGATAATTTTCCCACAGGAAGGAAGGAATAGGTAGTGCTCACCAGGGCCCTTGGGAAATGCCCAGGGGTTATAAAAGGGATTTTGTCAGATACATTTTTTTTTTAATTAAAAACCCGTATGTAAGTTCTTAGCACTAAAAGATGATTGTGGGACAACTGTCATCTTGACTGACACTGGGGACTGAAGTGGGGATTTACAGAACTGAAATCGTAGACTGTTATGATTGAGCTAGCTAGACAGGTACTTAACGTGAGAAAAGTAACATCTCTATACCACCTATGAAGTGATCACTACACACACACAGAGTGGATTACAATTCCTCATAGAAGGCCTGACCGAAAGCTCATTGAAGCCAGTGCCTTTTTTTAATAGGGGTTTTGGATCATGCTCTAAAAGATGTATTGCTAATTATCTATCTGTTAACAGGCCCCTTGAGAGAAATTTGGGGCCCCACCCCCTCCATTTCACTGAATTTATGCAGATGTTACAGATCATTAATGATCTAGAGGATGGCTTGGATTGCACCCTCAGCAAGTTTGCAGATGATACTAAACTGAGAGGAGTGGTAGATACACTGGAGGGTAGGGATAGGATACAGAAGGACCTAAACAAATTAGAGGATTGGGCCAAAAAAAATCTGATGAGGTTCAACAAGGACAAGTGCAGAGTCCTGCACTTAGGACAGAAGAATCCCATGCATTGCTACAGACTAGGGACTGAGTGGCTAGGCAGCAGTTTTGCAGAAAAGGACCTCGGGGTTACAGTGGACGAGAAGCTGGATATGAGTCAACAGTGTGATCTTGTTGCCAAGAAGGCTAACGGCATTTTGGGCTGTATAAGTAGGAGCATTGCCAGCAGATTGAGGGATGTGATCATTCCCCTGAATTCAGCATTGGTGAGGTCTCATATGGAGTACTGTGTCCAGTTTTGGGCCCCCTACTTTAAGGGAGGAGGGATAGCTCAGTGGTTTGAGCATTGGCCTGCTAAACCCAGGGTTGTGAGTTCAATCCTTGAGGGGGCCATTTAAGGATTTGGGGCAAAAATCTGTCTGGGGATTGGTCCTGCTTTGAACAAGGGGTTAGACTAGATGACCTCCTGAGGTCCCTTCCAACCCTGATATTCTATGATTCTCTGGTTTTGGGCCCCCCATTGTGCTCAGGGTCCTAGTACAATTGTTCCTCATTTCCTCCCCTCTGATCAACCCTATCTGCTAATAATATATCCCCATTATCAAGTCACATAGGAAAGATTGATCAGTGTAGAATTTGAATAACAACCCATCCATCCACCCCCCCATCCCTCCTATATCTAATTATAAATTCCACATAATTCTTTTGATATTTTTAAACTCAGTCCTGCCCAGCTCAGGTTGGAATGGGACTGGATTCTCCGTGGAGTCCAGCAATGCTCCTGGATAGACACAAGGGCACCCAGCAAAGCACGCTAGGCACTCAGTCTTCTGTAAGGGTGAGTTACAGCATTCTCCCAACAAAGGAAAATGAAAGATCAGAGTTCAAATGGAGGCCAGATCTCCTGCAGAACAAAATGGAACTACACATCAGTTCCCATTACTGTACTTCTCAATCCTATCAATGCATCTTTCTGTCAATCAGTCTATACGCTCTCTATGCACACAGAAGTTAAGATCAGAATGTGCTTTTCACTAGGTCTGGAAGGAAATAAAGGGAAACAAAGATTTAAAAGGGGGGACGGAATAGATAGGCCTGATTCTCTGTTCATATAATCTATAGAGTTACTCCAGATTTATACCTGTGTGAAAGCAGAATCAGATCTGTTTTTAAAAAGGGTCAAATGTTTCTGTCTTAACTTTCAAAATATTTTACTCCCTTTTTTCAAAAGAAATCAGAAACTATCATTATCTCCAGGTCCCCTTTGCCACATAAACCAGAAAGGGGATTACTCAAACACAGACAAAACTCTAAAAAATAAAGGCTCATTAATTTTCAATGGCATTTGGGTGCCTAGCACCCATAGACCTTATTTAAAATTGCATCCACAGACTGATACAGATACATACACAAAAAGGTTGGCCATCCATAATTTTATGTATAAACTACCTGGAAAACACCGGACATATTTAATTTTTCAATATAAAAGGAGAGCGTTTACAAACAACCTTTTTATGTGCGCTTGTGGCAAAACCAAAAACATTGCAGTGGAGAACACAGTCTTCTTTGTCTTGGCTGATTTGACAACACAGCTCTTTTAATCATCATTACTGTTTTATAAAATAAGCACAATGCTCACACCCCACTATTAATATAAGGAGCTGTCTGAAAACTCTCCCATACAGAAACAACCTCAAATTCCTCATCTTTCTTCACATCTGTTGGCTAGTTCACTTTATTCCTGAGATTAATGCCTGAAATAAGGTGAAACATAAACTATTCTGAGCAAATTCCTTCTTACCTGCAAATGACAGTAATGTTTCTCTGTCATGCAGTTTCAGACCTGGAAGAATCTAATTTTAATTCTCAAATTTAATCAGCCAGTGAGGCTTCTTTTTACCAGATCACTAGGCCAACATCCATCTGAATATCCCTGTAAACACGACAAGTTTTATTTCTGATTTAGCTAAAATGTGATTTCTTACCTGAATAGCAGAATTACATGCTGTACGGGCATTAAGGCTGAAGCTAAACTTTCTCCTGTTACAGATACCTTTTATGGCTATTGAACTTTGTTCTTTACGCTTCTGTATTTATCTAGTGTGAGTTTAATAATTTGCTCAGTGGAGTCAGTGTATGGAAGAAATCATGTGACAAAGGAGCAATACCATCCCTGCCCCACTTCCTCCAGGGATTAATTGTAGTGTGTTGAAAACTGTGTTTAAATTACAAGCTATCACTTTCAGTTTGCAAAGGGTTTCCTGGTCCTGATTGCATGCTGGGCGGCTCTGCAGAAAGGTGTGCAATCTGGGTCTTTCAGCAGGCAGCCTACAGAGAGCCAGCCTAGAGCAAGGTGGGGTGAGTTCTGCCTCTCTCTTTTAGGGAGCAGCCTGCTCCCTCTCCAGGGCCGGCTCTAGGCACTAGCATTCCAAGCATGTGCTTGGAGCGGCACTTTTCAAGGGGCAGCACTCCGGTTATTATTATTATTATTTGTTTTTTTTTGCTTCGGCGGGGGTCCCCCGGCTTTTTTTTTTTCCTTGGGGCGGCAAAAAACCTGGAGCCGGCTCTGTATCTCTCTGTTATGCGGTTTTTGTATGGTAGTGTTCTGGATTCTAAGCAATAAACAACAATAATATTTTATGTTTTTATCTAACCTCTCTGTGTGTGCACCATGAACATAACACTAATAACTGGTGATTGGTCTTTTACCAATAGCAAAGTACTAC